TTTTTTTTTTAGTAGAGACAGGGTTTCACCATGTTGGCCAGGATGGCCTTGATCTCTCGACCTTGTTATCCACCCACCTTGGCCTCCCGAAGTGCTGAAATTACAGGCATGAGCCAGAGTGCCCGGCCAGCCTTTAATTTTTCACAAGGCTTCACAAAGTTCATTATAAACTATCAAGGTTCATTCTAAATTATTCTTCATGGTATACATATTTGCCTCCACCCCATCCCACTTTCACCTATACTTCTTTCATGCTATGACCATACAGAACACCGGACTTCCAAATCTACATCTCTAGCACTTTCCAACTGCCTATTTGGCCTCTCCACTTGCAGGTTTAACCAAGGTTACAAATTTGACACTTTTTTTTTTTTTTTGAGTCAGAGTTTTGCTCTTGTTGCCCAGGCTGTGGCACGATCTCAGCTCACTGCAACCTCCGCCTCCCAGGTTCAAGTGATTCTCCTACCTCAGCCTCCCGAGTAGCAGGGATTACAGGTGTGTGCCACCATGCCTGGCTAACTTTTTTGTCCTTTAATAGAGGGGTTTCTCCACGTTAGTCAGGCTTGTCTCGAACTCCTGACCTCAGATGATCCTCCTGCCTTGGCCTCCCAAAGTGCTGGGATTACAGGAGTAAGCCCCTGGGCCCGGCCTCAAATTTGACACATCTAAGTCAGAACTTTTGATTTATCTCCCACAACATCCAATTCATAAACAACACCTACCATTTCAACTTCTAAATTGTATCTTGAATCCAGGAAAACTTCTTTCCATTTCCACTACCACCTAGTTATGCTAGTTACTACTCTTGGATCATTGTAATAGCTTCCTATTTGTTTTCTCTGCTGCTATTCTTGCCCCAGTAAACCAAAGTAGGTCTTTAAAAATATAAATCAGGCAACTCATTTGCTTAAAGTCCTCTAGACACTTCCCATTGCACTCTCAGATCATTCACATTCAAAGCATGATGGCCTTCATCATGTGGTCCTTGTCTTTCCTTTTTTTTTTTTTTGAGACAAAGTCTTGCTCTGTCGTCCAGGTTGGAGTGTAGTGGCGTGATATCGGCTCACTGCAACCTCTGTTTCCTGGGTTCAACTGATTCTCCTGCCTCGGGCTCCCGAGCAGCAGGGACTACAGGTGTGCACCACCATGCCTGGCTAATTTTTGTATTTTTAGTACAGACAGGGTTTTACTATGTTGGTCAGGCTGGTCTCGAACTCCTGACCCCAAGTGATCCACCCACCTCAGCCTCCCAAAGTGTTGGGATTACAGGCGTGAGCCACCGTACCCGGCCCTTGCCTATCTTTCTGATCTCATCTTGAACTACTCTCCTCTCCTGATGCTTACACTGCGCTTTTCATTTACTTTTCCTTCTCAGTGGCTGATCTTCTTCCAAGTCTTCCTCCAGATGGGCTCCTTCTCATTACATCATGTTCTCATACATAATACTGTTACTACACTGCACACCATATTACTCTTTATACAATTGCCCTGCTTTATTCCATTCACTGGGCATTGATAAATATCTGAAATAACTTTATTTATCTGTCTCCTATACTAGAATATGAACTTTATGAGTGTTGTCTTATTGTTGCTGTATTCCCAGTGTCTAGCATCAAATATTTATTGAATGAACCAAACCAAACACAATATATATTATGGAAATGCAAAAGAAATTCAAAGTTTATCATTTTAAAAGACTGAAATGTTTATCTTCAGATTTTCTACACTATGCATTGTAAGAATAAACAGTGTCTAATTATACAAAGTAATTGTGCCACCATGTGCACATTAGTAATCTAATTATACAAAATAAATGTATTTTAAAAGGGAAAAGGCAGGCCAGGTACGGTGGCTCATGCCTACAATCCCAGCACTTTGGGAGGCTGAGGTGGGCAGATCACTTGAGGTCAGGAGTTTGAGACCAGCTTGACCAACATGGTGAAACCCCATCTCTATTAAAAATACAAAAATTAGCCAGGAAAGGTGGTGCATGCCTATAATCCCAGCTATTTAAGAGCCTGAGGCAGGAGAATCCTTGAACCCAGGAGTCAGAGGTTCCAGTGAGCTGAGATCACACCAATGTACTCCAGCCTAGGTGACAGAGTGACTCCGTCTCAAAACCCCCCCCCCAAAAGAAAACAGAAAAGGAAAGAGTTTTATCATTTCTTCATTAACAGTTTCATAAACAAAATATATCTTAAGTCTACCTATTAAAATTGTTTATTGTATTTCCTTAACAGACATTAAAATGCAAAAATCTTAAAAATAAGAATTAAAGTCAGTATTCATTCTACAGTTTTATAACAGAAATCCCCCTCATTAATATTTAGATATTCAATTTAGAAATGGTTAACTTAAGGCAACCAAAATTTTAATACTGCTATTTGGTAAAAAGACTGCAAAAATGAAGGTGATATATACTTACACTTGGTCCTTGGGTTTCCTGCAGCCATTTAAGAATGTGGGTCAAAGAGAAAGTTTTAAAATAATTAAGTAATTTTGTTTGTCTGAGAGTACATTAACTAGTTAAATTTTACACAATTTAATACTGAAAAACTTCATTCTAGTTATCTTTAGTAGGCTGTTTAGAAGTTCTTAAGTTTTCAACTTAATTATTTTTCTTTTTAAAAATAAATAGCTTTATTGATATAGATAATCATATATCACATAAATTGTACAACCTTCAATTTAAATTTAAAATGAAGTTTTATTGATTTAGTTTACTTCATTTGTATATTTTTATTATAGAAAATCCAAAAAGTAATGTTAAAAAACAACTATTTTGTCTACAGACAATCATATTAACATTTTGGCATATTCCTTTCAGTATTTTTCTTTATGCATATATATATATATATATATATTTTTTTTTTGACACAGAGTCTAGCTCTGTCGCCCAGGTTGGAGTGCAGTGGCATGATCTCAGCTCACTGCAACTTCCGCCTCCCAGGTTCAAGCAATTCTTCTGCCTCAGCTTCCTAAGTTGTTGGAATTACAGGTGCACACCACCATGCCTGGCTAATTTTTGTACTTTTAGTAGAAACAGGGTTTTGCCATGTTGGCCAGGCTGGTCTCAAACTCCTGACCTTAGGTGATCCTCCTGCCCGAGTCTCCCAAAGTGCCGGGATTACAGGCCTGAGCAACTGTGCCAGGCCAATGCAGTTTTTACTTTGGATGTAGTTTTTAGTTCTTTTGCATACCTGTGCCACACCATAGAGTTTTATATCCTATTTTCTTTTTTTGAGACAGAGTGAAATTTCACTCTTTTTGCCCAGGCTGGAGTGCAATTGTGCAATCTCGGCTCACTGCAACCCCATCTCCTGGGTTCAAGTGATTCTACTGGCTCAGCCTCCTGAGTAGCTGGGATTACAGATGCGTGCCAGCATGCCTAGCTAATTTTGTATTTTTAGTAGAGATGGGGTTTCACCATGTTGGCCAGGTTGGTCTCGAACTCCTGACCTCAGATGATCCACCCACCTTGGCCTCCCAAAGTGCTGAGAGTACAGGCGTGAACTACTGCGCCCAGCCTTTATCCTATTTTCACATCATAAATACTTGTCATACATTATTGTAAACTAATAATAACAGTTAAAAGCTACTGAATGCTAATTATTTATCAGGCACTGTTCTAGACAGTATTAATCACTTAATAATCTCAATAGCCCAAGAGATTATTCTCATTTATCAATGAGAAAATTGAGGTACTAAAAGGTTATATAACAGGTCCAAGGTCACAAAGGTAGTAAGTGGTAAAGAAATAAATATAACACAACCAATTGCATAAAATTCCAATGTTATGAAACACAGTTTACATAACTATTTCTATTTTAGACATTTAGCTATTTTGAATGCTTTACTATCATAAATAAAGCTATACAAACATGTTTTTGTTATTTTCTTTTTTCTTAGTTTTTATCCTTAGAAAAAATTTCCCAGAATCAAAATCATTCTGTCACGGGATATGATGTTTCAAAGCTCCTGATACATATGGTAATAAATGTTTTCCCAAACAGTTGAACTGATTTTCAGTCACTAGTAACAAGAATGCCCATTTCACAGCAGCCTCACCAGTACTGTGTTTTATTTTTTAAAAATAGTTGACCATTGTTGTTTTAACGCTACATTTATTACCAGCAACGTTGAACATTTCTTTATATCTGTGCATCAGTTTCATTTCTTCTTCTGGGAATAGTCTGACGTCATCTTGAAAATCAAGTTAAGAACTGTTCTAAACCTCAACTGATACTGTAAATTGCATTTAAAACATGAGTGTTTCCTTAATAGCAAACATTTGACTTACTAACATTGAAATCTAGCACAAGTCTCCCAAGAAATAGAAGTAGAATTTCTTTACTGTACAATACAAGCATAATCCTATGTTAATTTTTAAAAGGCATCTTGTTTCTTTAGTATTTTCTGAACTGATGACTAGATTTACTGGTTTAGAAAAGTTGGTTACTATCTGTCATTCCTTTTGGTGACTAAATATACCAATAAATAAACAAGACAAAAGATTTCTTAGATATCACAAAAGGATATAATAAGGATTTTCTAACAATAAAGAAGCCATTCGGGCTTCTTTAATCATAGGACGGGCCATTAGTGTTCGTCGCCTCCAGTAATGCTAAGGAAACAAAAGAACACATACTCAAAGGATATAGTAGCCACATCTGTTAAGAATATGTCAACAAATTATCTAGAGATTAAAGCATTATAATAAAGTCTTTTTTTTCCCCCTTAATGCCACTAATAAGCCAATATAATAAAGTCTTACATGATCTCCTGTTCCAGCAAGATGAATGCATACAGGTCTATATTTGCTGTTCCATTCTTTAGGCACAATAAATTGGAACCTATTTTTAAAAGCACAGACATATCAATAAAATTCTCTTTAAAGGACTTTCAATAAAAACTTTCAATTCTTAAAAATGTTACATTTAAAGCATTTGAGAGAAAAGATCAGTCTAAAAATTTTGACATTCAAATTGTAATTAACTATATTAAGTTGTCCAAAAGCTATAAAGATATTGCAAATCTGCTTTCTGTTTAGATATTAAAATCTTCAATACAACATAAACATAGAATTTACTGTCACTGTTCTTTACCTTGTTCAATATTACAACTTTATAAATACATAATGAAATTTTCTTATCTTCTAGAGACACCACGATGTATGAGTAAGCCTTAAAAGAAATAACTTTTTTTTTTTTTTTTTGAGACGGACTCTTGCTCTGTCACCCAGGCTGGAGTGCAGTGGTGTGATTTTGGCTTGCTGCAACCTCCGCCTCCTGGGTTCAAGCAGTTCTCCTGCTTCAGCCTCCGGAGTAGCTGGAAGTACAGGTGCATGCCACCATGCCCAGCTAATTTTTGTATTTTTAGTAGAGATGGAGTTTCACCATGTTGGCCAACTGGTCTCAAACTCCTGAGTGATTCACCCACCTTGGCCTTCCAAAGTGATGGGATTACATGCATGAGCCACCACATCTGGCCAAAAGAAATAACTCTTTTTTTTTTTTTGAGACGGAGTTTCGCTCTTGTTACCCAGGCTGGAGTCCAATGGCGCGATCTCGGCTCACCGCAACCTCCGCCTCCTGGGTTCAGGCAATTCTCCTGCCTCAGCCTCCTGGGTAGCTGGGATTACAGGCATACGCCACCATGCCCAGCTAATTTTTTGTATTTTAGTAGAGACAGGGTTTCACCATGTTGACCAGGATGGTCTCGATCTCTTGACCTCGTGATCCACCTGCCTCGGCCTCCCAAAGTGCTGGGATTACAGGCTTGAGCCACCGCTCCCGGCCGGCTCTTTTTTTTTTTTTGAGACGGAGTTTCGCTCTTGTTACCCAGGTTGGAGTGCAATGGCGCGATCTCGGCTCACCGCAACCTCCGCCTCCCGGGTTCAGGCAATTCTCTTGCCCCAGCCTCCTGAGTAGCTGGGATTACAGGCACGCGCCACCATGCCCAGCTAATTTTTTGTATTTTTAGTAGAGACGGGGTTTCACCATGTTGACCAGGATGGTCTCGATCTCTTGGCCTCGTGATCTACCCACCTCGGCCTCCCAAAGTGCTGGGATTACAGGCTTGAGCCACCGCACCCGGCCTAAGAAATAACTCTTTAGATATAGCTCCGACCTTTTCTCTTTGCAAAAGAAATGCTTGGCTGTACAAGCTGTTGATGTATCAATAAAACAGTTTATGTTGTCTGTTTTTTTTTTTAACTTTTAGTGTATGATAGACTCTGATTCATTAAAATTTTGATACTTACAAGTAAAGCCAATCCATGCCAGAAAACAAAAAACACAAACGTACAGTTTTCTCTCTTTGACTTTTTTTTTTCTTTTTAAAGTCCAAAGCAACTCTTGTCTTTTTTTTTTTCGAGACAGGGTCTTGCTGTTGCCCAGGGAGTGCAGAGGCAAGATAACAGCTCACTGCAGCCTCAACTTCCTGAGCTCAAGTGATCCTCCCACTTTAGCCTCCCAGGTAGCTGGGATTACAGGTATCTGCTACCAAGCCCAGCTAATTTTTTATTTGTTGTAGAGATGGGATCTCGCTATGTTGCCCAGGCTGGTCTCAAACATCTAGACTCAAGCGATCCTCCTGCTTTAGCCTCCCAAAGTGCTGGGATTACAGGCATGAGCCATCGCACCTCATCTTTGTTTTTAATTAGTGTAGTATTTTGGTCCTGATTTAATGTTTTATTTATTTATATACCATGGCCTCTTGAATAACTAAGATTACAGACAAGAGTTAACACACCTGTCCATTTTAACGATTTTTAAGCTTATGATTCAGCGACATTAAGTACAGTAACATGGCTGTGCAACCATCACTACCACCTATCTGCAAAATATTTTTATCTTCCCAAACTGATTTCTCATTTTAATTTCCTTAGCAGTTCATACTTTAGAATTACTATCATAGTAAAAGACTGTACTCTTTCAGCTGAAGGTTTGACCTGAGGTGACAACATTCTTAGGGAACATAAAATCTCAATTCTGAGCTGAAAACTTTGCTTAGACAGAAGGGGTAATATCACCATTTATCCACTGTCAATAAATTGCAGAATAGACCAAAGACAAATAAATTTAGGATGGGTTTTTTTTTTTTTGAGACAGAGTCTTGCTCTGTCACCCAGATGGGAGTCCAGTGGCACGATCTCAGCTCACTGCAACCTCCACCTCCCAGATTCAAGAGATTCCTCCCGAGCAGCAGGGACTGCAAGTGCGTGCCACCACACTCGGTTAGCTTTTTTGTATTTTTAGCAGAGACAAGGTTTCACTGTGTCAGCCAGAATGGTCTCGATCTTCTGACCTTGTGATCCACCCACCTCGGCCTCCCAAAGTGCTGGGATTACAGGCGTGAGCCACTGTTTCAGGCCTAATATGATTTAATAATTATTCTTGTTTTGTGCTGATGGGAACTCTTTTCTTTTTTTTTTTTTTTTTTTTTTTTTTTTTGCTTCATCTTT